TCCTCCTCCTCCTCCTCCTCCTCCTCCTCCTTCTCCTCAACAACAACCTCATCTTCGTCCTCAGCAAAAAAAAAAATCCTTGCGAGTATGAAAACTGGAGTGTAAGAGATGAATTAAAATTTACCTCAGATACAAGATATTCATAGTTTCATAAGCATTTCCTTTTCTGCTTCCACTGTAATCTAGAGGACACCTGGTGAACAAGGGGAAAAAAAGTTAGTGAAAGTTAGAAAACAGCCTTAAGAGAAACAATCAGCAAGGGAGATACTCAGTAATTTTCACGTATTGTTGATTACTGAGTTCCGTACAAAAATAAGTAATTTTTTTGCGCCATTCCTCCCTTAGCAAAGTAATTGTCTGCTTATTTTAAGCAGTTGTGTAGGAGCTGCTCGTAAGATCTCTCCTGCTTGGTCGCAGAAAACAATGACATGTCATTCTTTCAATTGTTTCAGTATTGTTTGAAGTCAGGGTTACATTTTAAGACTGTCAAACTTAATCTGACGTTTACCGTAAATGTAGTTCTATATCTCTTCATTGAATCCAACAGTTACTTTCTACTATTTAGTCAATGCGGGCATGAACTTTATCTTGCCGTACCATGTTTTCCCTCTCATTTTTAGAGAGCATTTTTACCCTGATAAGTTTAGTGAATACGTTGACCAAGCATTCAAAATTCTGAACTATCAATCTTGAAGAATTTACAATCTGCAGACTTGAATTGAAAGTTGCAGCTAATACCGTCAACCCAATGTGAATCTACTTCTACAGCATACCCCTCAAACTGAACTTTTCATAATTCTAGTATCTCAGTATATTCAATCGATTTCCCCCAAACGAAAGAATTTGAACCAACCTATTCGCTGTAGTATTATTTGGTAAGCAATATTCCATGTCCGCACTGTATGGTGTTTTTGCATTATTGTCTGGTAAGCAGTATTCCCTATTGTCAGCAGGGCTGCATATCACTGCCTTCTCTGTATTTGGCGAGCTATATTCCCTCTCTGGACTGTATGTCACTATTTGCATATGACTTCCTTTTCCTTTATTTTTCCTGCAGGTTTATAGAATTAATGTCTTCATTAAAATAATGTCATCAACACTGCATGTCGCAGCTCAGCTGTTCTTCATTTCTTAAAAACGTCTGAGCTGCCTATCAGTGGTGCTTAAGCAACATGAACAAAAAATGGTCTAGTTTAGAATTGTGGGTTTGAAAATATGTGACAATTTAACATGAAATTGGGTGGAAAGTTACCAGTGACTGGCTAGCAAAAAGGACTGCTGAAAAAAACTAAGAACAATAAAAAGAATGCATTGTCTCAAATGAAAGCCAAAGTTTTAGCCAGAACGGGTCTGAATTTACCCTAGACACCAGTTTTGGAGAAAAATGGTTATTTAACATCTTGTGTTTAGAATGGCTAGCAAGGGAGTAGATGTGCACATACAGAATTTATCAGCTTAACTTTTGATGAAGGCTGAAGCTCATTTTCATAAGGCAGAAATCATTTCTTTTCCATTCAGAATTTCTCCTTTCCTATTCATGCAGGGCTTCTGATATTTCGCGCGGTCGCGGACCCGCGAAATTCAGGTATTTCCGCGAAATCCCGCGAAATTCCCCAAAAAACGCGAAATACCGCGAAATCCGCCAGAAATATTTCTAAATACATATCGGCAAAACATATTTAATACTTATCTTGGCTATTAGACCGGTTTTATTCACCCCAAACGTCCACACTTCGCTTGAAACTTCGTCACTGCAACGAGTAAACAACGTCCCAAAACTACCAGGCGTTTTTAGATGAACGTTGCGAAAAACTGGGCACTAACCATAATGTTAATTGCTTTAACATTCGCTCATTTCTCGAGCGAACTGTTGTTGAAAGAGCAAATGATTATCCCTGCTACAAAAACGTCCACCGACGCTGGTCATATCGACGCAACATTGATCGATTTTAGCCAAATTTGCCAAAAAAATCCCAGCGAAATCGGCTGTTTTTTACTGATTGTTTCTTGGCGAAGTTTCCCCCTGAAACTTCCCGTGAAATCGGCCGATTTTCCTAAGAATTTGCTATACCAGGCACGATTTACGGACAGGTTTTCAGCGTAAGCTTTCGTGTAAGCCGCTTACAGGGTTTACAGATTAGAAATTAACACAGGGTTACTCTTATTTAAAATTAGCTAGATTCCTTCATCTAAAAGTGGTTGCCATGGCAACGTCACTTAGGAGCTTACAGGGCTTACGGGCTTACAGGGCTTACTGGCTTACAGGGCTTACGGGCTTACAGGCTTACAGGGCTTACGGGCTTACAGGGCTAACAGGGCTTACGGGCTTACAGGGCTTACAGGCCTTACAGGGCTTACGCGCTTACAGGGCTTACGCACTTACAGGGCTTACGCGCTTACAGGGCTTACAGGCTTACAGGGCTAACAGGGCTTACAGGGCTTACGGGCTTACAGGGCTTACAGGGCTAACAGGGCATACGGGCTTACAGGGTTAAGAGGGCTTAGGGGGGTTAAGGGCATACAGGCCTGAGAGGCTAAAAGTGTATATCGGGGTCACCGGGATATAAGGGTAAAAAAAACGAAAGGGAATAAATGGGTTTGGTGGGTAAAACAGCAGAACCAGGTAGGCTGGCTGAACTGCTGC